CACCAGTGACCTCAACTGGCGCAGTCAAGGGAGGAGGGTCTACTTGAGACACACCTGAAGGAGCAGGACCGGGAGCGGGGAGGGGGTCTACCTGGGGAGCACCTAGAGCGAAAAAGAGCAGCGGGGGGGGGAGAGGGGCAGAGCGGTAGGGGAAGAGACGGTAAAAGGGAACCGACTCGTCGAACGTGACGTCCTGAGACGCAAAGACATGGCGCGAGGTGGGGTGGTAAAACTGCCAACCAGGCGCGTCAGGGACAAAGCCAAGGAAGACACAGGGAACAGCGCGGGCGGAGAGCTTGTCCGCGGTGGTATCGCGGACAAAGGCACGAGCACCCCAGACCCGGAAACGCGACGCATCGCCAACCTTCCCCGTCCACAGCAGCGTGGGCGAGGTCTCCGGTAAGGAGACACGGGGCCAGAGGTTGAGCTGATGCGCGGCGTACCGGACCGCAAACGACCACAGAAAATGGGGGGCAGCCGCATGGATCATGGAGGTACGAGCGACCTCCATGACTAAGCCAATGCGGCGCTTAGCAACCCCATTCTGCTGCGGAGAGGCCGGAAGCGTGAACGTCTGACGGATGCCGTGCTCCGCACAGAAGGCTGCCAAGAGGTCTGAGGAGAACTCACCACCTCTGTCAGAGTGCAGACGCAGGACGGGAAACTCCGTCCCGAACCGCTCGCGGAGCTGGAGACGGGCAATGCGGATCCAAGGGATCAAAACATCAGGGACCTCCCCCTTGCGCTGCAAGGGGAAGACCGTGGTGTAACGCGTGTAGTCGTCAACGACCAGCAGGAAGCACCGCTCGTGGCCCTGTCCTCGGACGCGGGCTGGGCCCCACACGTCCAGGTGGAGAGTCTGCAGGGGAGCCTCTGTGGGAGGGAACGAGGAGGAGTGAGGAGCGGCGCGCTGCCGCCCCTCGACACAGGGAAGACAGGGAGGAGCGGGCGAGGGTGGCAGGGGAGGGAGAACCCTGGGAAGACCAGAGACAAGGACACGGCGGTGCATGCTACGAAGGCGCTGCACCGAGGGGTGACCAAGGCGGTGGTGCCAAAGGAGGGTCTGGTGCGACAAAGCGCGACACGAGCAGGGGGCCGCTAGCTGACCTGACGTAGACGCAGACGCAGCTACCTGAGGGGACACAGTGGTCAGTGTGTACAGACTCGAGCCAGGCGCTCGGGTAAATGTGGCCAGGTGTCAGTCCGTCCGAGCACACGTGCAGTGAGTCACTCGCTGACTCGCAGGAGTGAACTGGTCAACCCCGCCATCCTGGAGGTCAGCTCCACTCACCAAGTTCGTAGAGAACGAGGGGAGGTAGAGACCTGACAGCGAGCCAGACGGGGCGGCTGGACACGGCAGAACCGTGGAGTAGTGGGCAAGGACAGGACCCCCAGAGGGGTCCGCCAGGGAGACTGCAACTGGCCGACTAAGCGGCGTGAGTGTGGTGCAGTCGCGAAAGAAGGAGTGGGAAGCTCCTGAGTCAAGGGTGAAGGTGTGCAAGACCGCAGCAGGCGCAGTACCAGAGAGAGCAGACTCACCAACACCTGAAGCAGCAGCCTCACCAACACCTAGAGCAGGAGACGCACTAGCACCTAGAGCAGCAGCCTCACCAGCACCTAGAGCAGGAGACGCACTAGCACCTAGAGCAGCAGCCTCACCAGCACCTAGAGCAGGAGACGCACTAGCACCTAGAGCAGCAACCTCACCAGCACCTAGAGCAGCAGGGTCTATACCTGGGTCAGGCGGTACGCACAGGTAACAGGCACCATCGGTACTAGTAGGCAATGCATACATGGCAGTGAGAATAGCATCATAGTCAAGAGCAAAGATATCTACCCTCTGCCTAAGCAGCTCCAGCCAGGTGGGGAGCTCAGCCTCGTCGCCAAACTCGGTACGCCAGGCGTCGCTCAGACGGGCGAAGCAGCGGGACTGTGTGTGACCAAGCGTCCCGCAAGCCTGACCAGCCCGAGCACCTGTGCGAATGACGTACGGGCAGCGAACGGTACTCCGAGACCCTCTACTCTGAGCGTACCCCTTATGAAGCTGCTGGGGCGAAAGTGTCTCGCGCGGACGCCGCTGCAGCTGCAGCTGGCCACTACCAGACGCTCCCGACTGCCCAGCTCCAGGGCGACAGCCACGACGGCTACCGCCACAACCCCAACTAGCGTACCACTCACGAAGCTGCTGGGGCGTGAGAGATGCGCGCGGACGGCACTGGAGCTGCATCTGGCCACCGCCAGGAGCAGCAGTAGGAGCAGAAGCAGCAGCGCAGCAGGCAGGCAGGCAGGCAGGCGGCGCAGCAGCGTGCTCACCGGTGGCAGGGAGGGCCGGCGCGTGGCGGGCAGCGGGGCCGCAAACCTGGCTGCAGAGGAAGGCCGCGTCAGCTGCAGGGCGGGGCAGTGTCGGCGGCAAGGCGGGGCCAGGCTGGGCCGCGTCGGTGGCAGGGCGGGGCCGCGACAACGGCAGGGCAGGTCCGCTGCAGTGGTAGGACGGGGCCGCATTGGAGGCAGAGCGGGGCCGCTACCCGGCGGGGCCGCGTTGGCGGTAGGGCGGTGCTGCGCGGGCCGCGTCGGCAGCAGGGCAGGGCCGCTACCCGGCGGAGCCGCTGCGGCGGTAGGGCGGGGTCGCGGGGGCTGAAGGGCACCGTGACGGGCAGGCAGGGGGCCGGGCGCGGGCTTAGGGCAGCGCGACGGGCAGGCAGGGGGCCGGGCGCGGGCTTAGGGCGACGCGACGGGCAGGCAGGGGGCCGGGCGCGGGCTTAGGGCGACGCGACGGGCAGGCAGGGGACCGGGCGCGGGCTTAGGGCAGCGCGACGGGCAGGCACGGGGCCGCGCGCGGGCTTAGGGCGACGCGACGGGCAGGCAGGGGGCCGGGCGCGGGCTTAGGGCGACGCGACGGGCAGGCAGGGGGCCGGGCGCGGGCTTAGGGCGACGCGACGGGCAGGCAGGGGGCCGGGCGCGGGCTTAGGGCGACGCGACGGGCAGGCAGGGGGCCGGGCGCGGGCTTAGGGCGACGCGACGGGCAGGTAGGGGGGCCGGGCGCGGGCTTAGGGCGACGCGACGGGCAGGCAGGGGGCCGGGCGCGGGCTTAGGGCGACGCGACGGGCAGGCAGGGGGCCGGGCGCGGGCTTAGGGCGACGCGACGGGCAGGCAGGGGGCCGGGCGCGGGCTTAGGGCAACGCGACGGGCAGGCAAGGCAGGGCGCGTGTGGGGCAGCGCGGTAACCGTAGGCAGGCATGCGTTCGGTGGGCCAAAAAAAAATCCGGTCCTAACGGACGAACCGCTCTGAAACCATGTTAGAAAGTCTAGGCAAGGATGAATGCATTGAAAGAAGGTTGGGTACAAGTAGCAAACCCTAGTTTGGGTTGTACCCCATATTGGCTACCCCATGCGGGGCGGCGTTCTGGCCATTTGGGGCCGGTTGAGAAGGTTGCGAGGAGGTTCCCGCGTCGCTGTTCCGCAATGTTTGGAGCCCTTGCTCCAGGCTGGTGAGTCGCTGAAGCAGTTGTGCGAGGACTTCGGTCCCGATCGTCGTCGTTTCCTCGTTTGTCGCAACCGGGTTGGGTTGCAGTTCAGCCGTCAGATTCGTCTGACCACCAGATTCTCCGGCCATTCTCACACACGATCGTGTGCCAGCCGCCACTTTCTGAATGTCGAGGATTTCGGGAGTGGCAGTGCGAAGGATTCCCGAGTCGCTCTCATACCATGCTACGATCAGAAGGGGATCGCTCCCAGGATCTCCTCAGGAAGGTTCGCACACAGCTAGGTAGTTAGTGGTGGGCCCTTGATCTCAATAGCAGAGTGGATGTAAAATGCTTGAGATGATAAAAACATGAAAATACAGAGGTATAAATATGAGTACAGGGGAATTCGAATCGACCTAGCTAGCCATGTACTCTAAGGGGTACATTCCCTTATTCGAGTTCATTCCAACCGTGCGGCGCGTACAGTTAAGAAACTGTTCCCGCCAATTTCCTCGTGCCTTCAGCTGCCCGATGCCGTCTGCTCCGACGGTCCAGATCCACCCCAACCGTCTGACGCTTCGAGTCAGTTCTGACTCCTCGTATTCGTTCTCGATACTGCGTGCTTCCTTAGCTGCGGTTAGGATTGTACAGTAATGTTTCAAACATTACCATACGTAACACGCTTTTCTGCGGTCGGGAGTGTACAATCACATTTCACTGTTCGCAACAAAGTTCGGCCTACACATACGGTCTGAACCATTTCCAAGTCGCCTCCTCACCAGTCGCCACCTTTAGAAACCTAGATTTTATTCGAGGTCCTCGCATATGATTTACTCTATGATTGCTGTCTTTTTTCATTGTATCGACAACTTGCGTAATCATAATCGCATTATTAGTTTATTGTGCGTACAATGTAAGTTCAACTCATAACACCAGCTATGCCATTCCCTGTTTTCGCAAATTGCTTATCTCGGGTGAGTCTCTCGGTTTCGCAAGCCGATGCGTGGCGGTGCATCACCTCGCTGATGCGCATCAATCTTGAGGTTATTTCGCTAGACCGCCAGCGTGGCAGCTAGAAACCTAGCGCACCACGTCGGTTCTGTCAGTTCGGTGCTGAACAAGGCGGTTCGGGACCACGTTGGGGCTCCTCCTAGCCCACCTCCCCAAACCGAGGTCCCCACCACTGGACCAAATCCAGTCGCTGTCCCTCGCCTCAGTTCGCTGCCCCACTTCCCCTTCCCTCCCCCTGAACTCCAAAAGCTTGTTCATAACCCCAACCCAAATAGAAGGCGTCGTCGTGTACGTTGCTCAGTTTCCACCCGTTGGCAGTCTTTTCGGACGACTTCAGTGATGCACAGCTAGTGACGCCGCAAATTACCTGCAGAGCTAGCGACCCATGCGGATCGTAAGACTGACAGCCGCACGACGCACGAGCACCGGTTCCCAACACAGAAAGAAACTTTCTTAGCATATTTGGATAGCAGTATCCCCTCACACTCCTTTTTTCCCCGATCCCAATTCTCGGCGATTAGAGCCATGGATCGCAAGGACTCCCCGCTGTCGCCATCGTCTCCGGCGTCGTCGTGCGTGTCGTCGTCGTCGTACACGGTGTCAGCGGGCATATGGGCGATGAATATCCTCGGTGCAGTGGGCATCATTATGGTGAACAAGCAGCTCATGTCCGCCTACGGCTTCACCTTCGGTAAGCACGCCGTTATGCTTCACGCGAAGCTTTTGCGAGTTCGCGGCTTCACCGAGAGGCAGATAGTCACTACAAATATTCCAGCGGGATTGGAGAGTAGTCGCGACTTGAAAGGAGAGGCATCGATAATGTGTAATTAATCGTCCCCCTCACTCCTTTTCATCCCTGCCCGGTCGCGCGTCGCAGTGTCGACGTTAACGGGTCTGCACTTCGCCGGCACCGCTATCGTCGGCCTCGTCGCGTCCGCTCTAGCCGGGAACAGCAGCTGCGTCAGCAGCAGAAGCAGCAGCAACGTAACTGGCAGCGGCGACGGCGGTGGCGACGGTAGCGGAGGAGGAAGAGAACAAGGAAAGGCAGCAGCGGCGGTGCTGCCTCTTTGGGTACTCTTAGGGTTCACGCTGCTGGGGAACGCGAGTCTGGTGGCGACGAATTTCAGCCTGCTGCTCAACTCGGTGGGGTTCTACCAGATCTCCAAGGTCGCCGTCATCCCGCTTGTCTGCCTCTTCGAGTCGCTCGCCTGGCGCCGCGAGATCGCGCGCGGCGTGTGGACGGCGATGGCGGTGGTGATGGTGGGCGTGGGGCTCTGCACCAACGCCGACATTACGCTCAACGTCGTCGGCTTCTGCGTCGCAACCCTCGCCGTCGTGTGCTCCGCGCTGCACATGATGGTGCGTGCCACCCCTTGCTACACGTGCCACCCCTTGCTACACGTGCTACCCCTTGCTACACGTGCCACCCCTTGCTACACGTGCCACCCCTTGCTACACGTGCCACCCCTTGCTACACGTGCCACCCCTTGCTACACGTGCCACCCCTTGCTACACGTGCCACCCCTTGCTACACGTGCCACCCCTTGCTACACGTGCCACCCCTTGCTACACGTGCCACCCCTTGCTACACGTGCCATGCGCCGTGCTCCATTCGTCGTGGTTGTCACCCTCGACAGCTCTCTCCCGCATTTCCCTCAGCGTGACTTCGCCTGTCCGCCGCCCTCACCCACTCTCTTGCTCCCTTCTCCCTTCATCCCCTTTCCCCTGCCGCTTCCCCACCCTTACCCCCCTCCCCCTCCCCCCCCTTGCTCGCAGCTTATTGGCTGGTTGCAGGACCACTACGCCACATCGTCGTTCGACCTGCTGAGTCAGACGGCTCCCCTGCAGGCGTTCCTGCTGCTGCTGATCGGCCCGCCCCTCGACTTCTACCTCACGTCGCGCTCGCTGCTCTCCTTCCACTTCTCCCCCGGCGCCCTCGTAAGCCCGATCGCCCGTCCACCTCGTGCTTCTCAAAATGCTCCCAAATCTGCACACCACCGCCGCACACACGTCCCTCTCCGTGCCTCCTCAGCGTCTATCCCAACCTTCCCCTCCTCGTTCGTCTCTCCGTGACCTCCGTCCCCACCCCCTTGTCCCCCCCTCCCCGCAGCTCTTCCTGCTGCTATCGGGGCTGCTGGCAGTGGCGTGCAACCTGAGCGTGTATCTGTGCATCGGCCGATTCTCCGCCACCACCTACCAGGTGCTGGGCCACATCAAGACCGTCCTCGTTATAGGCATCGGCGTCGTCTTCTTCCACTCGCCACTGTCGCTGCACAGCATGCTCGGCATGTCGCTGGCCGTGCTGGGCATGGCCATGTACGGCCGTGCCATGCAATGCGCGCGCATCACCACCAGTGGCGGCAAAACGGGTGATTCTAGCACTGATAATAGCAGCGGCGGTGGTGGGGGCGGTGGATGGAAGGTTGGCAGTGGGAGCAGCAGAGACAGTATGAGCATGAGCAGCGGTGGTAGTAAGGAGACGGGGGCAGGGAGGACAGGGTGCGTACCAGGCGGAGTGGCATGCTGTGACGATGGCATGACGGTGGTGAAGCACGCATGGGGCAGGGTGATGCATGCCTGGGCGTGGGACGAGGCAGAGCGCTCCTTTGTCCCCGTGGCAGGCAGGACCGCGGCAAGGGGCATAGGGCTCGCAGCAGGGGTGGGAGGAGGAGGCGGCGGGTTGATGGTGAGAGCGTCAGCAGCAGCGCCTCAGCTGCGGGTGCCACTGCTGGGTGCTAGAGACCTGGAGGCAGGCAGGGGATGACAGCGGTCATGCGATGATGATGATGATGATGGTCTGCCCCATGGCTAACACTCTCCAGGAGATTTCCAGGGCTGGAATCCCAGTGCTGCATTGGGAGCCAGCAAAGCGGAGCGTGTGTGAAATGTAGCACTGGCACCCAACTGTGCTCGCCATTGTGCCCGCTTGCACTCACTCCTGTACTGCTGCTGCTGCTGCTGCTGCTGCTGCTGCTGCTGCTGCTGCTGCTGGTGGTAATGTTGCGGCTGCTGCTGCTGCTGCTGGTGGTGGTGGTGGTGGTGATGTTGCGGCTGCTGCTGCTGGAGTTGGCGTTGATGCTGCTGGCGCTGCAGTAGCTTTGAGAGTCCAGCCGGTACACAGAGAAAACGCCTGCAAGTCCCTCTGAGCTATTCCAGCTGTCAGCTTTTGAAGCATCTGAGAAGAGGAGCGGCAGGAGTGTGCAGCTGCTGCTGCGGCACCAGGATGAGAGGCAACAGCAGGTGGATTGTGATGAGAAGCACAGCTATTGGATAAGCGCAAGTTCCACGGCAGTGCTGGCCCGCCGCGACAAGCGGTAACTGAAACAAATCACTGACAGGGCCAACATGAGAACAGTGTATTCAGTTGATCAGAGGAACAGGACCTACTGAATCCGTCAAGAAGAGTGTTACAGTAGTTTTGCAAAATGGAATCAAAATCGTGACAGGTTTTGTTCTGGTATGAGAGAAATATTTCACACCCACTGCCATCCAAATCTTCCTGAAGCTTTTCCTCCCATCTGTTGATGCATCAACAATCTGCTGATTTATTGGTGGCCCTACATATGTGCGGCCGAGCAAATCCCATTCCACCAACATGCTGAGCGTCATCATCACATGACATGAACTTGCCCAGCCTCATATCGCAGAGACCGTGTGAAAGCAACCACCGTGTGATATGTCTGTTGAACCCCCACTTGCATTCCGCGAAGCTTGTTAGAAGCACATCCAGTGCCTGCCACAGGGCAATCACGACCAACCGGTGCTTGCCAGGTGTCCCGAGTCCTCCGCAGCAAGTGAGACGAGCACGGGGCGGTAAGCAGAGGATGCAGGGCAGCGCATGAGCAGCAGCACTCGCAGAGAAGGAAGAAGTATGGCAGAGAGCACGGTGGTGGAGTGGGAGGGGATGGCGAGAGAGGGGATGGTGGAGGAGAATTGGCAGCATACAGCTGTGTGCAGGGCTGATGCGCGCACACAACCCAGCGACACTCGGCTCTTGCTGCTCCGCGCCATGCAATGGGGGTTGGGGGGATGGGATGGGAGGTGGGTGGGGGGAAAAGGGTGAAAGGGCTTTAATAATGAGTAGGCTCGTGCCATGTGATGACCTCGTGTCAGTTGTCACCATCCTTCACATTCCTCTGCTACCCTCCCTTGCCCAACCCCTGCCTGCACTCGCACCAACCACTCTTCCCCATCCCTTCAACCCACCAACCTTCCTCAAGCAATGCCCCCCCCCCCCACTCCACATCGCCTCACCTGCCTCGCGGTGCAGCACTCGTCACAAACCCAACCACTTCCCGAGCCCCTTTCTCCACCGCCCCCTGCCTGGCCCCTCCACGCCCTTGGCCCTCTTCCCTCGCCCCCTCACCCCCCCTCCTCTGCAGCCGCTCCCTCCCCCTCAACCCCGCCACATATCGCTGCTCCTCTGTGCCTCGCTGCCTCTCCCTCTGCTTCTGCTTCTGCAGCTGCCGCTTCGTCTTCCGAGCCACAGCAACAGGTATGGAGCCGAGCCTGGTGCGGAGGAGGGAGGGAGGGAGGGCAAATCCACGCCAGGCAGAGGCACGGGCGCTGCGAGGGAAGATGGGCAGAGGCGGTAGTTGGAGGGGGAGGGCAAGAGCGAGAGTTGGGCCTGGGCACAGGGGAGGGTGTGGCACGAGGTGAGTGAAGGGTGAAGGCAGATCCGAATAATACAGAGGAGCAGATTCGAGTGGCACAGAGGGCACGGGCATGGTGCAAGCATGCAGGGACATTCATGTATGGTTCTAATCATGCACGGACATGCACACGTGCAAGCACCCACCCATGCACACGTGCAAGCACCCACCCATGCACACGTGCAAGCACCCACCCATGCACACGTGCAAGCACCCACCCATGCACACGTGCAAGCACCCACCCATGCACACGTGCAAGCACCCACCCATGCACACGTGCAAGCACCCACCCATGCACACGTGCAAGCACCCACCCATGCACACGTGCAAGCACCCACCCATGCACACGTGCAAGCACCCACCCATGCACACGTGCAAGCACCCACCCATGCACACGTGCAAGCACCCACCCATGCACACGTGCAAGCACCCACCCATGCACACGTGCAAGCACCCACCCATGCACACGTGCAAGCACCCACCCAAGCACAGCAGCCCCATTGAATCGCGAGCAGAAGCGGTGGAAGTCTTGGTGCGACGGTACACACAGCTCTGCTGCTGTCTGCGCTGCCCCTCTGCCAGCTGGCACCACTCGCACCGCCACCATGCACGTCCCCTGCTGCTCATGCTGCCGTTGTGCCGCTGCGCTACTTGAGAGCCCGTGGAGGGGCAGTGGTGGGCATGGCGCAGGCGAGGCCACATCCATCATGCCCACGCTTCCCCCTCCCTGCCATTCCGCCCCACACCCCCCACCAGCAGCACCCACAGCTCCTCTCTCCTCCCATGCGCCCGGCCCTCTCGCCCTCTCCCCCACCCGCCTCCACTCCACACTCACCCGTGAGCCATGCGCCCCTCCCACCCCTCTCACCTCCCTCTCACCTTCCCCCCTGCCCGCCTGCCCTGCCTGCCCTCTCCCGCTCGTCCCTGTGCCATGGCCGTCCAGTCGTACTGCCGTGCTGCCCTCGCCCTCACTGCCACCACCATCCCCACCACCACCACGACAGCCATGGCGCAGCACAGCAGGCAGCAAGGCGGAGAGCACGGCAGCAGAGCAGCGGGCCACCCTCAAGTCAACATCACATGCTGCCTCTGCCTCTCCTCCACCCTCCTCTCCCCCATCCCCTCCGTCTCCCCCGCTCTCTCCTCCTCCCCCGACCCCTCCACGAGCACCACAAGCGGCGGCCCAGGCAGGCGGCAGGGGGGGACACAGAGGCCGCTTGGAGGCCGGCGTGCGGTCGTAGCGGGCGCGCTGCAGCAAATATGAGGCTGCCACGTGGCACCTGTAGGAGAAGGTCTCAGGATAGTCGTAAGGGAAGAGAGGCAGACCCGCCTGCAGAAGGGAGGACCAAGATTGGAGGAAACCGTGGAGCGTGGAGGGGAGGAGGGGAGGAGCGTGAGAAGGAGCGTTGAAAAAGGTAGTGACAGAGCAGCCATGAGCAGGGTGTGGCAGAGCAGCCATGCGCGGGGTGTGGCAGAGCAGCCATGCGCGGGGTGTGGTGGGGCAAGTGGACGAGAGAACAGCAGACTCAAAACAAATGGTGGTGAAACAAAGAGAAGTGGGGAGGCAGAGAAGGGGAGAAAGAGGAAGAATGGGTGACTGACGGCTGTGAAGAGAGTGTGCCACTCGGCGAGCCCGATGGCATGAGCGCCGTGCAGGATGAATGGGTGCCAACATGCGTGCAGGCAGTCCGACGGCAGGATGACCGACCACCTGTGATGCGTTGCGCGGGAGAGAGAGTCAGAAAGAGGGGCGTGGGAGAGGGGAGACTGGATGGGAGGTTGGAGGGGAGGGCATGAAGGATGGGAACCGCACACCACCACACACATCCCAAGTCCCACGACTGTGCATCTCCTTCCCGCCTTCACCTTCCCCTTCCCATCCCCATCTTTCTAACCCCATTCTGCCTGTTGTTTACCATCCTTTAACACTCCCTTTCCCCACTAATGGCGGCACCAGCAGCACCATGAGCGCGCCTCACCTCACCTCACCTCACCTCACCTCACCTCACCTCACCTCACCTCACCTCACCTCACCTCACCTGGTCACGGCAGCACCCTGCATGGCACCGCACCCATGCTTCACCACCACCACATCGCACCCTGCCTGCTCTCCACACAACACTCCTCCATGCCCCTCTCCTCCCTGCCCCCCTCCTCCCTGCCCCTCTCCTCCACACGCCTCATCTCCTCCTCCCCGCCCCTCCCCACCACTCCCCCCATCCCCCCTGCCCGCCTGCCACTGTGCCCACTGCCCCGCCACGCTCTCCCCCATGCGCCGTGCCTCGCGCGCCCCCATGAGCCCCTGCAGCTTGAGGGCGCGCCGCCATGCATCCAGCAGGCGCTGGGGGGGAGGTCCGAGGGGAGGGAGAGGGGTGCTGCTAGTCATAGCGGCTGCTGTGCCGCTCGACTCTCCTCCTCGCTGCCCTCCCACCCTTCCACGCCTCTCCGCCCTCTCTTCCCCACTATCACCAATTGTCAGTTTCGCATCCTCGTCTTCCTCCGACTCATGACGCATATCCACATCTTCCTCCTCTGACTGATTCGCCCTCCCCCTGCCTGCCCCATGCTCCTCCCTGCAGTGTGCTGCTCTCCGTTGCTCTCTCGAAACCCACAAAGTGGGAGCAGCTGCAATAAAGGCCCCATCCACCGATCCTGCTACATCTCTCCACCAATCGAAACACAGACCACCCTTGTGCGACACATGAGCCCTCCCAGCGTGCCGGCCATCACAAGAGCCTATCCTTGTGCGCCCACCACCCGCCCCACCAGCTACCCCTCCAGTCCCCCTCCCACTGCCCGCCAGGAGCCGCGCGTCCACGGCTCTGAACCCCACCACGGCCCCACCAGGGAGCCACGCCCCGTGCTCCGCCAGCACCTTCCAGGACGCTTCTGACTGCTGCAGGCGCAGTGATGCTGCAACGGATGAGTCAGGGAGGCCAGCAGGCAAAGCAGAGGCGGGAGCAGCAGGGGAGGCAGTGGCGGCACGGGCAGCAGCAGCAGTGAAGGGTGGCGGCAGCAGCGCGGGGGAGAGGGCGTCCAAAGGGGCGGAGGGGCGCAGCACGGAGAGCAGCAGGGGGAGGGCCATTCGCCCCGCCACCTCCACGCGACACAGCTCGCCCTCACGGCTCTCCACACTCACCCGCCTCCGCCTCGGGCCTTTGTGCTCGCTGCCACTCTCCTGCCTCTGCATGGGTGGAGAACGGTGAAACCCTACAGGCTGACTGGCGGCTGTGAGGGCGGCCAGGGCGTCAGGCAGCATGAGTGCGTGCACCCACACCCACACGCGCCTCTGCTGCCGCTGCTCCTGCTTGCGCCGCCCCTGCCTCTCCCTCCTCCGCTGCTTCCATCCCATCCCCTCCTCCTGCCCTCCCTTCACCTCCCCACCGCCTCTCTCTCTCCCACCACTCCCACTGCTGGCAGCACCAACAGCAGCAGCAAAGGGCGCATCACCAGGTCCATCAGCAGCACCACACCCTTGAACTGCCGCCCCGCCAGCACACGCCGCTGGCTGCCACATGAAACTGGCGGGACCAATCACGTCGCTGCTGCTGTTATCACTGGAGGAGGAGCAGAGCTGATCAGATGGGGAGGAAGGGGAGACAGTGGAGTGGAGATGGGAGGCAGGGGAAACGGGGGGAGGGGTGAGGCTGTGGAGGAAGGAGGAGGTGCGAGATGCGGGAGGATGAGGATGATGGTGACGCTTGGATGGTTGGAAGGTGGAGGACAAGGCATGCTGTGGTGGAGGACAAGGCATGCTTTGGTGGAGGACAAGGCATGCTGTGGTGGAGGACAAGGCATGCTGTGGTGGAGGACAAGGCATGCTGTGGTGGAGGACAAGGCATGCTGTGGTGGAGGACAAGGCATGCTGTGGTGGAGGACAAGGCACGCTGTGGTGGAGGACAAGGCATGCTGTGGTGGAGGACAAGGCATGCTGTGGTGGAGGACAAGGCATGCTGTGGTGGAGGACAAGGCATGCTGCTTGCATATTGTTTGTTAGTTGTGGTGTCAATGTCACAGAAAGAACGCAAGGTGGAACACGCAGAAACGAGCACAGCAATGCAATGACGGCGGTTGAGAGAGCCGCCATGGCCGTGTCACTCTCGCCATGGCCGTGTCACTCTCGCCATGGCCGTGTCACTCTCGCCATGGCCGTGTCACTCTCGCCATGGCAGTGTCACTCTCGCCATGGCCGTGTCACTCTCGCCATGGCCGTGTCACTCTCGCCATGGCCGTGTCACTCTCGCCATGGCAGTGTCACTCTCGCCATGGCCGTGTCACTCTCGCCATGGCCGTGTCACTCTCGCCATGGCCGTGTCACTCTCGCCATGGCAGTGTCACTCTCGCCATGGCCGTGTCGCTCTCGCCATGGCCGTGTCACTCTCGCCATGGCCGTGTCACTCTCGCCATGGCCGTGTCACTCACGCCATGGCCGTGTCACTCTCGCCATGGCCGTGTCACTCACGCCATGGCCGTGTCACTCTCGCCATGGCAGTGTCACTCTCGCCATGGCCGTGTCACTCTCGCCATGGCCGTGTCACTCGCGCCACACCTGCCCCTCCCTCCCACCACACATGCTCCACTCTCTCACCATGGCTCTCAGCTCCAACACTCCCCGCCTCCACGCCTCCCCCTCTGCCGCCTCCCCCTCTGCCGCCTCCCCCTCTGCCGCCTCACCCCATGGTGCCTCGCCCCTCGCCCCAGCACCCCTGGCTGTGCATGCTGCATGCGGCGTGTGAGGGGCGAGGGGAAGTGCACCCGGGGGAGTGCAGCGCGCAAGCAGCGCGCAGATGTCCGCCTGGGAGGGGAGGGAGTGGTGGTGGTGTGGGTGGATAGATGCGAGGGGGTGTGGGAGACGAAGGGGCGGACGGAGGGAGACTGGGTGGGGAGAGGGATAGGAGGATGACGAGAATGGAGAATGGAGAATGGAAATGGAGGTGAGAGGCGGACGCAGTGAACGGAGCAGCGAGGGGCATATGGATGGAGGAGGATTGGACACGTCGTAGTGGGGGAATAGAGACAGAGTAATAGAAAAACAAGTGGGATGGAAGCAAAGAGGCAGAGGCATCAAGGCAGGGAGGGATGGGCAGAGGGCAGCCCACCTGCGCGCCGGTGAGCTGGATGGCGGAGTGGTAGGACGCGTCGTGCAGCACGGCCGCCCTGCTTACCGCCTCCACCACTGCCCGGCTGCCACGCCCCCTGCAGGCGCAGTGGTGAGGGGATGTGCGGCGAGAGGGGGAGAACAAGAAAGTGGGTGACGAGGGGAAGGGACGAGGGATGGAGCAGTGGTGCGAGTGAGCACAGGGCAGGGCACTCGCACCTGCCATGCAGCCGTGCTGCCAGCGAGTACCCCCACGTGTCTGCCATGTGGAATCGCTTCGCATGCCACATGTGACTCGCCAGCCGCCTCGCCCCCCCATGCCCTGCCCCCTCGTTCCACGCGCGCCCTCCCCCCACCCCCTGCTTCAATCGCTTCGCCTGCGCCCATCGGCGCACTCGCCTGCACGCCTCCCCTTCCTCCTCCGCCTTCCCTTCCTCCCACTGTTCCGCACCACTCCGCCCCTCCCCGCCCTTATCCTTCCCCTTCCCCCGCGTCCCCCTGTCCACATGGCCCTCCAGCGCCGCCACCTTGACGCGCTTTCGGCGGACCTGCCCCGCAACCACCCGCGCCAAGCCTCCGCGCCCTCCGCGTTCCCCACGAGCACTGCCCGCCCCCCTCGTTCCGCCCGCGCCGCTCTTTCTGGCTCCCCCGCGTCGTACGAAGCTGCTGGTCCGTCGGATCAGGTGCCGCGGCGTGCCGTGCCTCACGGCCACTCGATCGCGACGCCGCCGCGCGCCCCACTCGCGCCGCCCCACCACGCGACTCTCCTCGCCTCCTCCGCCGCCGTCTGCGGCATCTTCCGCCGCACTATCCGCTCGGCCGTTCCGCTGGTCGCGTCGGTGGGTCCCAGGCGCTCTGGCGGCAGCGCCGACCGTTGGGGCGCGCGCGCGGTCGAGCGCGGCGTAGAGGGCGGCGAACTCCGACGAGCGCGCCGCCGCGAAGTCCCTCACGCGCACGCGGTGGGGCAGCATGCGCAGATGGGGGTGTGGGGAAAAGGGAGAGACGGTGTAGAGGCGGATTCTGCCGTCTGAGGCTTTCTTCGCCGTCTGAGGCCTTCTTCGCTGTTGCACTGTGGAGTCGACTGGTCCCGGACGCTAGACCCGACCCCGGGAGACGCGGAGCAATTTGTAGCACGGCGGGTCACTCCTGACTCGCTTCCTTACACTCGCCCCCTCTGAAGGAAGGTCGTCCATATCAGGTACGCGTCGCGGGAAAGGTAGTCCTATAATACAACCTCGTTATTGACTAAATCAGGAGTGTTCCTGCCAAGCTAGGACCTTCAATGTAACAACCACGGCCCTTATAACAATGGGCTATAAAAGATCTAACTAATCCCACCAAGGGATAAATAAGCTTTGAGCTTACCGTCATTGCCCGAATATAAGACATATATGTCCTATCTTATGCAATAGAAAAAATGCTTGGGTTGTCTTGTATTTCTGACACTTTAAGGTGTCTTATAAGTCTTATAGATGGACAAAGAACCCGTTTAGAAGAACGTTTGCTTCATAGTGTTGGAAACATCTAGTTCACGCTTCTGATGTGTCAAGCACCACAGCGTAAACGAAGCGAACTACAGCGAAGCAACAGCGAGTCAACCGAAACTACAGTGAAGCGGTTGACAAGAAAAGCAACAGCAAGAGGTTAAGCGAAGGTCAAAAGGTCTGCGTGTCAGAATGTTATTCTCTAGCCTGTAGTGGGGTGCTCTATAGCGAGTACAACCCATCTAGGGTTTGCTATATGTATCCTCATTGCTGCTAGTGAAACCCCCCTTTTTGCCTAAACTCTCTCTTGCCTAGCTAGGGTTCTCCTAGCTATGACTCCTAATTCTCGCTATTACTTTAACATGGTATCAGAGCGAAGGTCTCGGGTTCGAATCCCGGTGTGTGCACCTCGGGCATCCCAGTGCGGGGGGGTGTCAGAGGTCCACTGGTGATCTCCGATTGATCCTAGGGAAGGGTTACATGCACGTTGGCCTGGGGGGTTATGGGCGCACTCACCCGCTACACAAACAAGCCCTTTTATCCCAGTGGTTAGTGGCTGGGATTCTGACATGGTGTCAAGGCGGTTACGCTCATGGCCTGTGGGCCCCACTTGATGCTTCCGCTGCTTTCCTATCCGTCGCGCGCCATGGGGCGCGTGACGCCTTATTTTTCTTCCCGCCGCGCGCTCGGGGCGCGCGGCGGTTTCCCCCCGTCGGTTCCCTCCCGTCGCCTGCTGCAGCTCGCCCGTCTCCTGCAGCAGACCCCCCCGTCGCCCCCGCTGCCCCGTCGCGGCGCCCTGGGAAGCGCGCGCGACGCCTGCTGCCCCGTCGCGGCGCCCTGGGGAGCCGTGCGCGGCCCCCCCCGCTCGTCGCGGAGCCCTGGGGGGCCATGCGCGGCCCCGCTGCCTCGTCGCGGCGCCCTGGGGAGCCGCGCGCGACCCCGCAGCCACGTCGCGGCGCCCTGGGGAGCCGCGCGCGACCCCCCGCTGCCCCGTCGCGGCGCCCTGGGAAGCCGCGCGCGCCCCACTCGCTGCCCCGTCGCGTTGCCCTGGGGAGCCGCGCGCCCTCCCCCGAATCGCCCCCGAATCGCCCCTTCCCCCCTCCCATTCTGCCTCTTTTAGGGTTTGGGGGTGGCGAGTGTGGGGGTGGCGCCTATGGGGGTGCTGGCCGTGTGCTCCGTCCCCTGCTCCTCCTCCTCCTCCGTCTCCCGCTGCTGCAGCTGCCGCTGAGGGGGGTGGGTGTGTGGGAGCCGAAGGAGTGGTGCTAGGGGGGTGACGTGGGAGTGGAGCTAGGGTTCGAACAGGGGGTGTGTGAGAGGGGGGTGGGACGGTCGGGGGAGGTTGAGCGGAGGCTGCCGTCTTGTCGTCAGCAGCACCTGTAGTCCGGGGCGCTGTTCCGGTAGCCCAGTCGTAGCCAGCTGTGCCAGTCGCCCGTGGGTCCGTTGCTCGTCTGCCGCACTTAGCCGCGGAGCCAGTTACTCCTGTATTCCGGGGCGCTGTTCCGGTAGCCACTGTGCCAGTTTGACTCCTGTTGCCCGTGTGTCTGCAGCTTCAGTCGTCGCCTCTTATCTCCTCTCCTCCTACAGTCTCGCCTCCTCCTCCTCACTTGCCCTTTGTGAATGACTCTAGTTTTGCTTACCTTTGTGAACTCCTGCTCTATACCTGCTTGCTCATTGTACTGATTACACCCCACTTTGGCTATGGGGGTGTGTCAGAATGTTATTCTCTAGCCTGTAGTGGGGTGCTCTATAGCGAGTACAACCCATCTAGGGTTTGCTATATGTATCCTCATTGCTGCTAGTGAAACCCCCCTTTTTGCCTAAACTCTCTCTTGCCTAGCTAGGGTTCTCCTAGCTATGGCTCCTAATTCTCGCTATTACTTTAACACTCCGACCTTTGACTCGCTGAAAAGCAGCGCGACAGCAAGTGTCAGAGGTCCACTGGAGATCCCCGATTGATCCTAGGGAAGGGTTACAGGCACGTCGGCATGGGGGGTTATGGGCGCACTCACCTGCTACACAAACAAGCTCTTTTATCCCAGTGGTTAGTGGCTGGGATTCTGACAGCAAGGACACACAACTGATTCGCCATTGAGCAGTTGCCCGAGTCGTCGCTGTACCGAATCGCAACAGCAGCTATAACAGCAGTTAGCAGGCCCTATGATATCAGGATTTTTCCCCTGAAATTCCCGATTTTTCAGCCTATTTTTGTGTACCTACACTGATTTTGGAGTGTCTAGATTTTTGTGAGACCAATTTTCAGCCTTCATTTCATAGTTAACACTGAGTTTTCAGCCTTTTATCGAAGTGTACACTGAATGCACATTCGTAATCCTTCCTGAAAAACGCCCGAGATGACTTGTGAAACGGTCGTGTAACTTACAAACCGCTTGCCAACAGCTCTGAGTGTCTTAGTTGTTAGTGGAACCATGTGGAATGATAAGGTTTAAAGTTTGATATGTTGATACTTCGTTAATGCGGTAATCACGTTGAATGGATCACGTCGGTGGAAATAAGAGCTTTTTCTTTATGAACCCTGAAAAATCAGGCATTTTTTTTTTCAGAGACACTGAAAATCAACCTTTTTTTTCACAGGGACCCTGATGCATCAACGTCCCTAAAAGTGAATCTGAGGGCCTGGCAGCTAGTTAAACCTTTCATATTCCTTGTAGTCATATAAAAGGCTTTGTATTTCCTTGCTATATTCAACTTATCTAGTCCTCACACACCAGCACAAGGTGGTTCAACCAGTTCACTAGAACGCTTCCGCAAATTACATCATTGTCTTAAGTCTTAGTCTTGAAAACGACAACAAAAGCCCAACATGGTATGAGAGCTAGCAAGACAAAATTCAACCTCCTACAACAAAAGGCATGGCAACGTAGAAGGAAAGAAGCTCATCCACTTGATCTCTTAGTGCTACCCCTACTCCACCTCCAGCCTGTGAACTACAGATAGAGGGAGGCTCAACTCAAAGACCAGCTGCCGAATCCACTGAAGCACCCGTTAATCAGGCAACCGGCCTCGACCCGAGCATGATGGAGAAATTCTTCTCCTTCATGTCATTCTACGAGCAACAGCAACAAACGGCACCTACACAGTCAAACAACTGCGACAACAACAACGGCGCTACTCCCATGAGTCTCGATGGCTCATCCTTTGCACGCGGAAATCAGCAGCCTACCTTCGCACCGTACGAGCCTCAACGCGGCTCCATCAGCTTCATGCCAAATTGACTTCCAGCTGGACAAGAAGACAATGGACGCACTTCAGCTGCAGTCACAGTTTGCACACGTTCTACGACAACACCATTTGACGGCAAAGACTTCTATACCTGGTCATTCGAGTTGGAGCTGATGATGGAAGGAGCCCAAATTCTTGGGTACTTTGACGGTTCCTCGCCATGTCCAACGCACGGGACACAATACGACAAGCAGCAGTATACATATCAGTCACTAATGGCGTACACCATGCTTCTGCGAAATATAACGGCAAATGAGCAGTAGAACATCCGGTCTTACCGCGGATACGGTAACTTCGCCGTGCTCGCGTACAACCACCTGAAGAACCTGTATCAAGCAAACGACAGTGTTAATCAGAGTCACCTCATGGCGCAATTGGCAACAGTCCAAATGCAACCTGGCAAAAAAGGGATGGCATATATCAGTCGCTGCCGCAATCTCCGCGACAGACTCCATCGATGCGGCGGATCACTACCCGAAGAGGCCTTCATCACTGTCGTCATCACATGCCTCAGTCCTCAGTCGCGCTCCACCCGGGCCATTCTTCGAGCCCATGGAAAAATCTCC